CCTCCTCCTCTCTCTCTTCTCTCTCTCTCTTTCTCTCTCTCTCTCTCTCTCTTGCTCTCTGCTTAACCCTCTGTAATAAAATTATCTTGCATGGCTCTTGGTGTCTGACTTTAAAATTTCTTTTATCGGAACATAAGAACCAAGCTTTAGAGTTTCATTCCCTGTTTTCCTGTGACACCAGCAATTTATTTTCCATATTTGGGGAAAAAGTACCTAAGCTAATTTAGCTCTTCATCTATCACTTTCAAGCCAAAGCCCCTTTGTTTTCAGGTGCTTTGACTATGGGGTTTCCACCTAGGTCCAGTAGAGACCACAGTGGTAACTCTATGTGCACTCTCCTAATAATAATTTCGAATTATCTAATAATTTGCTAGCAATCCCTTCAAAGTCCCTTCCAACCTGTGCAGTGAGGCATTTGCTTCTGATGCCAGCAAAGTTGGTTCCAGCTTTGGTTTGAATGATAGACTGTCAAAGTTCCTGGTCATTCAAGGCCAAACCACTTAGGAGGACAGATGCTGGTTAAGCCATCTAGTCACCATTTATGTGTTTTGGGGGTGTTGGTGTTTTAGGGAACAGTGGAACTAGAGAAGCACCCTAACTACACTCAGATCTGTTTCTTGGTTTTCTTTTCCAAGGTTGGTCCTTAATACCTGGGACTTTTTAATTGATGAATTCATATAAAAGAGGCTGAAGAAAGTGGAAGAAACTCCTGCTTGTCCCCAGAAGATTGAAGGAATTGCCAAGGAGGGAGATGCAGAGCAAAACCACCAGGCCCTGTAGTGCCAGATTCGTGGGACCCCAATAGACCTCCAGGAGCCGAATCCGATGCAATCACACAAGAGTCTTTATTGCAAGCTCGAGCCTGGACTCACAACCGTTTCCAATGCAGCGGTCCCAGGGAGTGAGTCCCGGTCCTTTGCTCAGTGAGATTTTATAGGTTTTGGGGGGATACTCTATGCGTCACAACATCTCACAGCAAATCATTTCACACCGCAGGAAAGTCAAACAACAACTCTTAACATTGATTAGCACATTCACTGGCAGGAACAAGTTGGGTAGGGGTGATTGGTTAGTACAAGAGGGGGATTCCTTTGAACTGATTGGTTTAAGCCACAAGGGGAGTACGTGCTGAACTACATAGTTTCCCAACAGGTTATCAACCACCATAAACTACATGGGGTTCATCTGGCATCCCAAGTATTTTTCCTGTCTCATGCCGATTGGTGGTTGCTAGGGGGTTGCTATAGGTCCTCACCTAGCCTAACTGAGTCAGGGACACCTGGCACCGCAGATCTCTACTATTATTTGCAGACAAACAACTCAGCAGGGTGGGTATATGCCTAGGAGTGCTCTGGGGGTTTTTCCAAGGACAAGGGTCACTCCCCTTTCCTTGGGCAGGCTTTGCTCTGAGGTAGAGGCTGGTTTCTCAAAAATGGAGTCACATCAGTTTCTCATTCTCCCCTTTGTCTAGAAACTTGGGGACCAATCATGGTTCCCTCAGTTGGAGGTTTATCTGGGCAGGCCCTACATCTTGGTAGAGTAAACAGTCACCCTCAGGGGACAGTCTTCAACTTCCCAGACTGACTCAAAATTGACCTCCTAGATCCGACCTGACTCAATTTACCTATTTACACTGACGTCTATCTATTTCTGGCTTCAGCCCCAAGCCAGCTGTAGACCATATTATGCTCATATCCACTGAGTGCTGCCCATGGTCCTTCTTGCTTTTTCCTCCCACCTTCCCTTTCTACCCCTTCCCCTTCCTTCATTCCTTTCCTCCTTTTCATAAAATCCAAACAAAAATTATTGGATAAATTAATTTATGTTTACAGTATCTACATATAACTTCAATTACAAGGAAAATCAAGTGGTTAGGAGATTAACTAAGTTAGACTGTTCCGACTCTTTTATGGGAAGAATCACTGTGTGAATAGCATTTTTTTTTTTTTTTTGCTAAATTAGAAAGAAATGATATGGTTATGATCCATCTGTAGAAATCAGGTTATTTGCATTTGCAGAAAATCAGGGAGGCAAATTTGGAGGAGCAATTAAGGGCCACCTAGAACCTCTTCTATATGCCCGACTGTCTTCTCTGGACAGTAGGCGGTGGCAGATTTGGAAAACTAGGACTGGGAAAAAATCCAGAGCATAAATACCCTAAGAACACCAGACCAGGAGTTTCAAAGGCACATAATAATTGTGGGGCCAGATAGGAGATGTCAGTGAGTAAATGTCCAGTAACTCTTCTTGGTAACTATATTCATTTTGCGTATTAAACATGGAAGATTAGTCCTCACTTCTTCCAAGAATTGTATTTTTTTTTCTTGAAA